TATTATGTATTAAAGTATGCTTTACACTTAGGACGCGTAGATCTAATGTTATTGTGTGTGTATATAGTATTCGTTCGTATATATGCTTCATATATATGGTTTTAGTTATTATTATTATTATTATATCGTATTGTATTAGTTATTATGCATAATATATTCATGTATATACATATGCATGTACATATATACCATATACATATATATGTGTATGTATATATATATATATATAGCTTATTTAATTCTGAGGTCACATGAGTTGGTTTTGTTGAGTTTTACGCTTTAATTGTATTTTTATTTAACTTATTACGCTTTCTCCATTTGCATTTTGTAAAAATTAAATAATAATAAGAAAATAATAACAATTAACTAAGTTGTAGTGTTTTGTAGTTTAGTGTTCAGTGTTGTTTCGTGCACTCTTTCGCGATGCACTCTAGCAACAACGCCGCAGCTAGTTAGTCCTCTCTTGGATAGTTCAAAACAAATTCATAAATTGTAAATTGTATTTAGCTTGAAATTTCATTTAGTTTTGCGCTGGCTTCGCTGCTCCACCTGCCACTTGGACTTGTAGTTGGAGTTGGAGCTGGAGCTGGACTTGGACTACTCCACCGTGAACGTATACCCCATAATTCCCGCTCGAGTCTGTGCATCTACTGGGGGCTGTTGGGTGGCGTTATCTCGTCGCCCTCGCCGCCGGAGCCGGGCTCGCCCTTCGTCTTGTTCTCCTTCTTCCACTTCATGCGTCGGTTCTGGAACCAGATCTTGATCTGGCGCTCGGTCAGGCAGAGAGCGTGCGCGATTTCGATGCGTCGTCGGCGCGTCAAGTAGCGATTGAAATGGAACTCCTTCTCCAGCTCCAGCGTCTGGTAGCGTGTATAGGTCTGGCGGCCGCGTTTGCGCTCTGTTGGTTGTGAGAAAGACAAAAAGTTCACAATTAAAATCAACGCACAATGCACAGTGATACGAATGCCATCAACAACAACAGCAACAACAACAACAATAACTAAAATGCATACTACAACAACACCAACAACAAGAAGACCAACAACAACAGCTTCAAAGAGTGATCTGAAACGCAGACAACGCAATCAACATGTGTGAGTGCGTGCGTGTGTGTGTGTGTGTGTGTGTGTGTGTGTATCAGCGAAGGTACATATCTGGGAAGGTATCTGTGGCCGAGCTGCGCCTGTAGCTGCGGGCTTTGTTCTAGACCCAAGCACCGATAGGGGACAGCGAAGGGGCTGGGCAGCTCTTTTGGATTAAGGTTGAGCAAGAGATTTCATGGACAGGCGGACAGGCGGACAGAGGCCGCTGCAATTGGGCAGTGGGGGAGGGAGCAGGCTAACTAATTACAAAAAAAAGGTCTGCGGGTTTCACGGACTCACTGCCAAGCACTGGCGACGGTAGTCGAGTAACTGTAAAACAATTTGGAATAATTACTGCGCCCCAAAAACCAGCTCGGCGCCTAATGACACTTACTATAATTATAATTTTCGTAATGACAAAAAACGCAGCTCAAACAGAAAACAGAAAAACAAAGCACGAAAAACGAAAGCAAAACATAACAAATGCCGCATAAAATATGTCAAAAATAATACAAACTAATATAATTGTCAATCGCCCCAGCCCCTTGCTCCCCTCGCCCTCCACTCGCTCCCGCTCACCTTGGCGAATGGTCAGCTAGCGCGAGAGCTTTGGGTGGCGCTCGGCTACACCCTCGATCGGGTCAGCGGAAAGGGAAATGGCTGGGATGTGGAAATTCACCTGAAGAGCACTCGACAGCTCTAACGGGGGCGTCGCGTCTCAACTCGACTCGACTCGACTCGATTCGGATCGGCTCGACTCGTTTCAACTTGCTTAACTATTTTTTAATAACATCTTCAGCATTTGTCTTGCTCAATGCGTTTTTCTGCGCCTCTCCTTTCTCTCCCCCTCTCGCTCTCACCCTCTCTCGCTCTGTCGCTGGCTAGGGGGTCATTACATCATAAGCTCTTTTTGTGCGGCGGCCATTAATGCGCGCGAATCCGATTCATAGCACAAGAGGGGGGCAGATCCATGGCGGCCGCAGGCAGTCCGAGCCGTGAGAGAGGGAGGTGAGCGGGGGGCAGCTACCTTCTTTTAAATGACACAACTGATGCCATGTCTATAACCCAAGGCGTTCGCATTTAATCATCATCAGTTAGACGAGCGGCAAAAAAAAAAAAAAAGCGAGGAAAAAAACTTGAGAGATTTGTGGTAAAAAGCGTGCGTGTTTTTTTTTTCTCTTTCTTTCTTGTTACCCTTCTCTTGGCCAGACGCCGCTTGAGCAGGCCACTTGGCCAGAATTCAGCCATGTATTAGATGAGATTAAAGAGCCTTAGAAAGACTTTAGCCAAGTTGCCGAACGGAGATATCCTTAAGCAAATATATATTCTGACTGACGTTATGAGCCGCACACTATTTTGCCGTTACGCTGCTATCACTCGCAGCGCAATTTCCCCTCAGCGGAAGCAGTGCAAAAACTTGAGCTAATTAGCAGCGCACGGCCCAGACCCCTTGGCATGGCCCTCTCATGCAAGGCAAATAAATGATTATTTTAATTGATAAAAACACCTTCATGGCTCACAAGTCGATGACGACTGGGAACGGTTAGACTGTAGAGAGAGAGAGAGAGAGAGAGGGGGAATCGGGGCTACATATCGTTTGGTCAATGGCAATTTAAGAGCGGGCGCGCTTGCCTCTTGCCTGCTTGAAATTCGTTTTTAATGATGCCTTTGCACATTTCATGCGGCCATCACTCAAAAGCCAAGAAAACACAATAAATACATATATGAACATATATACATATATACACTGATATATAGTCACATATTTTGTTTGTTGTTTGATGGTGTGCGGCGCTCAAAATTGAGTACTGAAAAATTATTATAAACGCATTAATGGCGCTTTGAGGCACCACTAGACGGAGCTGTACGGAGTTGGAACTCACACTATAGCGGGGAGTGGGGCAACGGAGCACTCTGTGTGTCGCTGGGGCGGGCTCTGCGTATCAACTACGAAAAATATAATTAAGGTGAAACAATTAATATGAACAGGAGTAGCGATACGCACTCCACTCAGCTGCGGCCGGGGCGCCGAATGTGGCGCAACTCGCGTGCCACGCCCACCCCGCGCGCCTAGCTAGTGGCCAGGCCAGGCCAGTCTGACTACCGGTCAGCTACTCGACTCACTCGACAGCCAGTTTGGCCGTTTGGCTGGCATTAATGCTTTTTGATATGAAAGCTTATTGTAATTAAATTGCGATTAGGCCACCATTTTAACCATTTTACTTCTTGCTCCATAATGGATTTTATTCCATTTTTTTCCCTCGCTCTCTCTCACTCTGACTCTGTCTCTCTCGGTCTCCCTCCCAGTTACATTACTATTGTAGTGTGTGTGTGTGTGCGTGCGTGTGTGTGTGAGCGATTGCAACGCGCAACGTTTAAAGGAAATCATTAAAATAATTACTACAACATTTTATGGAATTCGTTGAAGTCGCAAACTAATTATTATTATTAAAAAAAAAAAAAAATATTAAAAAAAAAAAAAAAAAAAAAAATGAAAAGCCACAAAAAGATATAAATTAGAATTCGCTTGGCGTAGAAAGGGGTGCAAATTGAGAGCTTTTTACAATATATAAATGACAAAACTGATTAAAATAATACATGAATTTCACATATGTCGGTTTTTTTTTATAACAATCCCATTTATACACAATTGTTTACTGTAATGAGCAATTGATAAATGCTTTAAATGTTATGGAAGAGCTGCCATTCAGACAGACATAGGTGTTTTACAAAATTATGACTATATATAATTTGGCAAGTATAAGAAATCCTATGTTATTCCTTATCCACTCTACTACACATCGAATAAATTGACCTATCTAAAGTTTTAAAATAGATTTTAAATTTAGCGAATGTCGTAATAAGCAGTTAAGTAATATACATAGTGATTAGAAAGCTGATCACTTACTTTCAATATTCAAATACCCAATGAAATACTCTGCTATAAAGACGTTAAATATATTTCTATTGACAACTTTAGTCAGAGAAAATTCAACTCCCAGAAGACCTCAATAGATTTATAATAAGAAAAATAATACATTTATGTAAAATATATTTGTTCATTCTGTAGCTTACTCCTCTCATAGCTTGCCGTATCTAAGCCCTGCACTCTCCGCTTATCCTTTGTTACACAAATCATTCATTGATCACAGCAGCCAAGTGATCCACTAAACAGACAATTTATGGCATATGCCATTTGCATAGAGGCAAGAGCCAAGCAAACAATTTGAATAATAATAATAATATTCATAATTTGCATAAGCTGTAACCTTTGGCTGCACGGCTGAGCCTTCAAAGCTGTCGTCGTCGGTGGTCGTTTGCTTGAGCGCTTCAAACTTGCATGTCATGCGGCGGCAGCTGGTAAAAAATGCGAATGCACTGAGCAAAAAGGTGAAAATAAAAAAAATAAAAATAAAAAAAAAAACACATACACACACACAAGTACATAAACTGCGAAATAATATACAGCAAAAAGTCAAAAGCACACATCAAATGCGAGTAAATGTTTTTTTAATTGCGGAAATTACGGACAAACGCGCGAGCCGCTACAACAAATGCTGGCAAATTATTATTGTTTATGCCCCCGAGTTGATAAATTCTGTGCCCAGAGTCAAGAATGTTCGTGTGTGGCATGCGAGCAGTTGCTGCTGCTTGTGATGTCACCAGCAGCATGGCCAAAATCGCCGAGTCAGGCGATGAGCTTGCACTATATAAACAGCGCCCCCTGGCGGCGGGGAGCAACAGTCGCTGACACAGTTGCCAATTAGCGCAACCTCAGCGTGGAGGCACATATCTGCATAGGAAAACTTTTTCATTACGCTTCTCTGCATTCGGACATTTTCCAGCTGCTGCTGCGGAAAAACTTTCAGCGAAGCATTCGCCCTTGGCCACGGAAAAGCCTTCAATTTTTTTTATATATATTTTTTAGGTTAGTTCAAGTCAAAGTTTGGGTATGATGACTGGACAGACATACAGATTTATTTTATTTTATTTAATTTTTTTTTAAATTTATTTGCATGCTACAGTTTCTTTATTTTAATTAAAGTCAAAGGAAGCGAAGGTAGCAGAGGTAAGCGTCAACAATTAAAAATTACCATTGACCAGCAGAGCATTTATTATATAAACATTTTTAATTTCATTTTCCCTTTTGCCGGCCATAATCTCGGGAGACGCTGCGACTTTTTAATTTGGGATTTGTTAAGCACTTAAGAGGGTTAAAAATCGACAAAAGTTGACGGAAACGAAAAAAAGGGAACACATCCAACTGGAGCATAAAGGACCGCAAATGAAAATAAAATAAGTTGGACAAGGAGTCTGCCTTATGAATGCATTCATTAGAGACGTCACTGCATGCACCATGCATCGAAAGGGGAGCGAGGGGGAGGGGGCCTTAAACTTTGTTTAGTTATCGCTTAAACAAAGGCGAAACAAATAAACTATGTGGCTTAACTCATTTTTTATATAAACTAAGCTACCCTACAGACATGGGGAATATTGAGACTGGAGAAGGCTTGTGACAGATCCTCTGTTTCTTTTTGTAGAAAAATATATATGATTTAAGCTGCCGAAGCAATGTTTATTTGAATTGATTAGAATTGTCGTACCGAATATTGTCATATGGATTTAACATCTATTTCAGTTCTATCGGATTATATTTCAATCGGGTTATAGGGAATTTTTAAGTCATTGACGCTAATGCAACCTTCAATTTAGTTACCATCAATATTATTTTATCTATTTTATTTCGAATACAAAATGTAGAGCTCTTAAATAACATTTAATATTCATATTTTCTCAATAAATATTCCTCTAAGAG